AGCGGAGGTCTTAATTGCGCCCCCCAGGGACTCTGTGGGATTGGGGCGGGGAATCCCTTTGTTTTACCAGGAGTCTGCCTGGGATCAATGGAATGAACATGCCAAGAGAAGGAATGTGTGCAGGGTGGGGAAAAGGTTGCTGTCAGATGCCATTGAGTTGATTCCAACCCCCAGCAGCCCTGTGTGCGCGCTGTGTGGTCCTGCTCCATCCTCACAAGCATTGTGGCAGCCACGGTGTCCCTCCATCTCCTTGAAGGCTGTCCTCTTCTGCCCTGACCTTCTATTATACCAAGCACAATGTCCTTTTCCAGGGAGTGGTCCAAAGTGAGAGGAAATCTCACCAGTCTCGAATCTAAGGAGCACCTGGCTGCACCTTTCCCCAAACAAAGTTGTTTGTTCTTCTGATAGTGTGTGGCATGTTCGGGATTTTTCTCCATCACCGCGATTGAACTGCATCAATTCTTCTTTGATATTTCGTATTCATTGTTCAGCTTTCACACGAAGAGGAGGTGGTTGCAAATACCCTGGTTTGGATCTAACACACCTTAGTCCTCCGAGTGACATTTTTTTTCCTTTTTGTCATGCTTCTGTGACTGTTTCTTTGTCCTCCTCTGTCCTGTTTAAGCCATGGGTTTGTTGTAAACCTCTGGACACCAATCTGAGCTGGTGCGGACGGCCTCCCTCCTCTGGATGATGGGTCTTTGTCCACTGTAGGCCTTAATCAATGTTCTCCATAAATTGCTTTTGAGATTTGGGGTCTCTTTCGTCCTCTGCATAGCCGCAGCCATCTCGTGTAAGGTGACCAGATTGTAACATTGGTCAAGCAGGACACCATTGATAAAATTCATATCCTGGCGAAATAGCCACATGGCAGCCGAAAACCGTATACCCTAGCTTTTAGTGCATTCTTTCAAAAATTCGGAACTTTTTTAAAGCACTGCAGGACGCAGGAAAAATTGTTAAAAATCAGGACTGTCCCGCCAAAAGCGGGATGTCTGGTCACCTTAATCTAGTGGTCTGGTTTCAGGGTTGTGGAGACTGATCTGGGGCCGGGGTGGGGGTGTCCAGCATTCCATTGGAATAGTTATCTCCATGTGACTTCTGGGTTGTTTTTTCCCTTCCCCCTCTGTTTATTGTGAATTAGGTGGGGGTTTACATTTCGCATCATCAACTTTGTATTCCACAACTTGAACTCAAACTTCCCAATAGCTTTCCCTTTGATTCCTCTTCTCTCTCTTGGAGAATGGTATCTTCCCCTCCAGCCAAGTCAACACCTGGGCTGCGCTCTAGCCTACTGCGTCACCTCCCTACCTCCTCCCTTGACCATCAA